AATGGAATGAATTTGCATCACAACTTCCTCTCCTCAACAAAATGCAGTTTAAACGACAAGTTACATCGAATCTCAAGCATTTAGAAGTGCACGGTTTCTGTGATGCCAGCCAGAGTGCGTATGGAGCCTGCATTTGTCTCAAGTCAATCGATGACAACGGAAAAAGCCAGATCAACCTTTACTGTGCTAAATCTCGAATCACTCCTCTCAAAGGCAATCACACCATCCCTCGCTTAGAACTCTGTGCAATGANGTTGCACGAATCTTCGATCCACTTGGATTACTGAATCCAGTGGTAACACACACCAAGATCATACAACAAGAACTCTGGAGACTCAAATTAAATTGGGATGACTCTACACCGACAGAAATTCATACTAAATGGAATGAATTTGCATCACAACTTCCTCTCCTCAACAAAATGCAGTTCAAACGACAAGTTACATCGAATCTCAAGCATTTTGAAGTGCACGGTTTCTGTGATGCCAGCCAGAGTGCGTATGGAGCCTGCATTTATCTCAAGTCAATCGATGATAACGGAAAAATCCAGATCAACCTTTACTGTGCTAAATCTCGAATCACTCCTCTCAAAGGCAATCACACCATCCCTCGCTTAGAACTCTGTGCAATGAAACTCCTCTCTAACCTGTATGACACAGTGAAGAAAGCAACAGACCTCACACCACAACGAGAAGTTTTTTGGTCAGACTCTACTGTCGCTCTCCACTGGATTAGAACATCTCCTCACCTCCTTCAACGATTCGTGGCTAACAGGGTGTCTCGAATCCAAGATCTCACCAAGAACATAGAGTGGAGACATGTACGCACACACGACAATCCCGCAGATGCAGTATCCAGGGGTGAACTTGCCTCTGACTTCTTGAAGAATAATCTGTGGCTGCATGGACCCAGCTGGCTCCATGATTCTGAAGAACATTGGCCTCATTTCCTCATAGAAAAGCCCTCAGAATTACCTGAACTTCGAAAAATTGCTTGTCTTCATGTCACTGAACCCGCCAGCAACCTCTTTGTACGTCGGTATTCCTCATTTGAAAAGCTCAAACGAATCACTGGATGGTGCTTAAGGTGGCGCAAGAGACTCTCCCACAAATATCTCACTCTCCCAGAACTTGAAGCAGCCGAAACTAAACTTCTCCAACTAGTTCAAAAAGAAGCCTTCTCCACAGAACTCTCACTACTTCGGCAAGGAAAACCTCTTTCTTCAAAAAATCGTTTAAAAAACCTCAGTTTGAAACTCGATGACAATGGACTCATTCGAGTTGGTGGTCGGCTAAGAAAGGCTCGTAATTTTCCCCTAGATGGCAAACATCCCATATTGCTACCAAAGGGGCATTACATCACTCACCTCCTCATCAAGAAAGCTCACTTGGCCAATCTTCACCCAGGCATCCAGACAACTCTTCATCTACTCAGGCAGCGATACTGGCCCATTGATGGGCGCAGTCAAGTACGATTCATCATTTACAAGTGCATCAACTGTGCCAAGGTAGATCCACCTTCAGTCAACTACCCCATGGCAGATCTCCCGAGCGCACGCATCACACAGGCAAACCCCTTCACTCACACTGGTGTGGACTATTGTGGTCCCTTCCTCATCAAAGAACGAAGATACCGTAATCTCAAGAAAATAAAAATTTGGATCAGCATATTCGTGTGCTTCACAACAAAGGCAGTACACATCGAACTCATCAATAACTTGACCAGTGAAGAATTTTTGGCTACACTCAGCCGATTCATCTCTCGACATCCCTCCTGCAAGGCTCTCCA